ATTTCTTCACTGAAAGAAGAGCAAAACACTGCTCTGGAGGCTTTTCCCAGAGGAAAAGATGTTTTCGCTCTTTTCCCGACTGGTTTCGACAAGAGTTTGATCTATCAATTGGCTCCTCTTCGTTGTCGCTCTGTTAGAACGTCATATGCTACGTTGACCTGATTGGTTTATTTGGCCCATCTATCACCAACATAGGCCAATCAGCTAACCAGTATTTTCGCCCCTTCCCAAAATTACTTCAGCGGAAGGTTTCCAGATGGATATGCGGAGCAAATCCATCTGGCGGAGCCAGTTTACCATCCCACATCTTTATTTCTGAAATGTTTGGTCGCTTCAATGTTTCCACCCGCCTTTAGAGACAGCATGGCCATCTCCAAAACGTCCACCTCTGAGCAAAGCAATCTAAATGTCCAAATATTGGGAAAGCCCAACTCACCGCGCAGTAAGTGGTCCAGGTCAGCTTCTGGACAGCAGATAGACTCCGTCACTGTAGGCGTCGGTGGACAGCAGCCACACCAGATAGCGCTGCCACCTCCCCCCATCCCATACGGGTGTCAGAAATCCCACCGTAGCGCGTCCATATGGCGTTCTATCCTATCTTGTGGCAAAGCGCATGCGCAGAAGGGTTGGACTTCACAGGTTGCAGATGGACAACGGCATATAGACGCGCTACGCTCCAATTTTGGACTTGGATTTTCTTTGACGTTTATAATTTTCACCATTGTAATATAATTATTGATAATAAGTAATAATTTCCACTTGATTTCTGGAATAGTAGTTCTTTGCTCAGGGGACATTCACATTCATGTATTCCGATGTATACTTTGTCCAGCAATCAATTCCCATCCCTGCTCTGTTGCTACCCCCCTGGGAGTCCCGACCCCCACTTTTCAAATCCCTGCTCTAACATGCCTGCCAACCAGTCCAGTACAAACTTTACGAATTTTCTTAATTCAACAAAAATCTTCAACTAGAAGTGGAAAACTTTGACTAATATCGTTTTTTTCTTTGAGCGGTGACCTCCTGTGTCAAATAACCCAACTCATCACAAACAAGATTGGTGCAGATTGGGTTTTCCAGACATCATTGTGACAGACAGCCCACGCGATGGGAAGCAGAGCATTTCTTTCCTGCCCTTTAACTCAAACAGGAACAGGTAGCTCCATATGCAGATGCACAAACAAAATAAGCAGTTCCTAAAGTCGCTAATGAACTGGATGCAGATTCTCTAATGAGCTGCACAAACAGATTGACAGCAGGGATGTCTCACTGCGGAGGTCAGTTTTAAAAACGCTTAATGCAAAGAGCGCACAGCTTGAGTGATCTAAAGTATTCACAGTGGAACGCCACCAAGACGGATGGTTTTACCTGAAATTAGAAAAGAAACTAACCCTGAAAATACCTCCGCAATAAGGTTGTTAAATATCCCTCGGTTACATGGTATGGTTGCCATAGTAACTGCCTTCCTGCAGGTACATCAAATTGTGATTGCACTCTAAAACCTTGTATAGGAAGGCTTTACACACGGCTGATGAAAATCAGGAGGAGTTGAGGGGGGGGGGGGGGGGGCTGACAAGCAATGATGTGAAAAGAGGAACGGTGCTGCAGAATAAATACAGGAGGTGTTTGGAGACACCTTCTGCGCACAGACATCAGATGGACCTCTATTTCTCACTAAATTCCTGTTTTTATATTTGTGTAATTTAGTCTTCTTCTTCTAGATTTCTTGGATTTAAAAATTTTAAAGGCAATGATTGCCTACAGAAAACGTTGGCCATCTGCAGAGCTCATTCCACTGCAAAAACAATCTAGAAATACGTAAAGATTACTTAAATTAAGTGTATTTATCCTTAATTTGAGTAGGTAAGTAAGAGGATTTGCCAATGGAATAAGTATTTTTACTCTTAAAATAAGATAATTAGATAAAATGCACTTGAAATAAGACATTGCAATTGTTTTTTCTTAATTTAAATCAAAATTGTCTTGTTCCATTGGTAAAATGTCTCACTTACCTCCTCAATCCAAGAAAAAATGCACTTATTTTAAGAAAAAATGACTTAAGATTTACATTTTTTGCAGTGCTCTCGTCTCCATCGCCTTTTAAAGGTACACTATGCAACCGGTGTTGATTTTCCAGTGAGGCTCCCTCCAGAGGGCGAAAGTAAAAGTGCACTGTCGTAAATATGCTCAGCTATTCTCCTGGTTTCTCCGTCAAGCCAGGCGCGGTTGTTTTGAGCTTAGCAGCGAATGACTAACGCTGCATTCACACTGGACGTAGCTGGCGCGACAGAAGCAGCGAGTTTACATGCAAAGTCAATGGTTGACGCGCGTCAAGGCGCAGCAAAAGGTCCCGCCGTGCGTTTTGAGCACCAGGCGCAGCACGTCTGAGCAGCTGAAGCAGCGCGTCGGGTGCGTTTAACGCAGGGAGAGAGACACAGCGCTGATGATCTCTCCTCTTAAACAGTTTATTGACGCCTAAATTAACTTAAAATGCAGAAATCTGCCGGCAGAATATGCAGTTTGGATTATTTAGATGAAAAACACCTACCAGCTGCCCGGTGAACCGCTGCTGATGAAGGGATCCATACTGTCGGTGCACCGCTGGTATGTGGGGGTCTGAGCGGCTCCGACAGAAAAAATATTGAAGGCAGGATAATAATCTGAATGAACTGACGGCACTGATTACGTTTTCAGGTGTATTTTCTCACTTAAACACATATTAAAACTACTTTATTCCCACTGATCACAGCAAATATAGCTGCAAGGCAGAGAAAGGATAGTGAAGCTCCGCCCAACATGCCTCAGACACAGCCAGAGCAGCAAAGCTGCTTCAGCCACGCATCAGAACTAACTGGTACAAGCAGCAAAAAGGAAGCAGCAGACGCGATTTTGCTGCTTTTGCTGCGTGAACGTAGCATAACTGCACAAAGATCGCCACTGTGCTAGCAACGAGAATGCTTTTAACTGGGGCCGTGTAGCAGTTCTCGCCGTAAAGCAAGACTGACTCTCACGAGACTTCTGAGCCTGTGGGTGCGGGTCGGTGCTCCTGCAATTGCAAGTGCAGTATTTCCCCCAAAGACCACCAGGGCGGCCGAGAATACCTTTGTTCAACCTGAAATGACTCATTTAATCATCCAAAACGTTATGGAACACATTAATTAACTGAAAAATGTTGCATAGTGTCCCTTTAAAAACAAACCACTTTTTTCACTGTAGAGCTAATAACACCATCAGCATTGTTAAAACAGTATGTGCCTAAGCATATTTTTATAAAGTTTAGACCCTTACCCTGTGGTTTTCCTAAAGCAAAGGTCACTGAGCCCTGGTCATCAGGACAAACCCTGTTCTGCATTTCTACAATGTTTCCCCGCTGCTACACACCTAACAAAAATAAATGGGTCTTTAAAAGGCTTGAGCTGCACTTCATGGCATGCTGAGGGTTTATTACCATCATTGATTCAGCTGAGCTGGAGCCGAGACGCATTTAAAAACATGAAGGGTTTGGAGGACCAGGGTTGGGGAGCTTCTCTCTAAATGCTGCCAACGTTTCTAATTCCAGCATTTTTCAATAACAAAAAGAAGCTGAAAGCTTAAAATGACGCAGTGCAACTCTGATAGGTATGAGACTCAGATCATATAACAACCTTCAGTAAATATTACATATTTTTTTAGGTTTTATGGTTTTATTTGCACAAAAAAGGAAACTGTGGAACATGATCTGGTTATTTTATTGATTTCACAGAAGCATCCATTTGAGGTTTAAAAGTGCTTATTGAGCAGAATATTCTGTGTTCTGCTTTCTACAGAGTATTACTGAGGGTATTAATAGCTGATGTTAGTGGGTTAATAAGTGAGGTTTTTTGTTCAGCCCATAGTTTTAACAAATCATTACTGTAATAAGAGCAATGAGGAGTTTTTTTTACGTCATGAACCTCTGTGTTTTTTTACTCGGGTATGGAGTGAATTTTGTTTCATTATTTTTTGCAAGCAAAGAAAAGTTTGTAAATGGAAAAATCAAATCAAATGGAATCAACATATTAATAGAAGAATAAGGTTATAAGAGTAACTTTGGTGTTATTTTTTTCACATATTAAATTTTTTTTTTTTTTCCAAAAAAAAAATGTATTTTGAAATTTTTTATCCCAGATTTAATATTTTGGAAATTTTCCTTTCCAGAATACATTTTAAAAATCATTCATTTCAAATTCCATTTCTCTTTATTTTACTCCCAATACAAACATTCGCTTTTAACGCACACATTTACCAATTAAAATGTTGCTGCTAACGTCCAGCAAACCAATAGAAACATCCAGAACTGACGAGAACGTGATCTATAAAACACAATTTGAAATAATTCAATCCCTGTAAAGCAAGATAAATTTGAATAATACAATTTTATAATGTAAAATGTGTAAAAATAAAATGCAATCTGAAAAAACAGTTACTTTCAAAGGATTTTTTTTAATTTAGAAGTTTTTAACATTTTTTAAAGGTTTATTTGTTTGTTTTTCACCATTGCAGTGCATACTGTGTAGATGACTGGACTGCTAATGTTAGCTGGAAGGCTAACATTAGCAGAGTTATTTCATTATCGGTTTACGTTTGACTGGTAAAAATGCAAAACTGCGCTGCTGCCTCAAAGTTTTCACGAACGGTTATACATGAGATATTTCTTAGAACAAACAAATATTATTGGTTGTGATCTACTGTTAGCTATGTTAGCTTGAGCTAACACCATGTTTTCCATGTGTTTTTGGTATTCTCTATAAAGCCTCAAACTCAACAATATTTCTGACACATTGATTAAAAAAGCTTTTCTGGATGGGTAGTGAAACATCTTCAAACTTGGAAACAAAGTCCAGTGGATTGTTTTTTACCCTTTGTTGGAATAAAGATAACACCGTTAGCAGAAACTAGCGTGAAATCAAAATCTATTTGTAACATCATGAAGAGGTTAAACGTCTGTTAACTGTTTTCTGCTGCTTTGATTACATCCTTAGACGGTGTCTTGGACCTCTCCACCAAGAAGAACAACAGCAGAGGAGGCCCCAAAACTCTGACAGGCTTCACCCTCACACCTGGGGACAAAAGGTAAGATTGGTCACAAGAGGAAAATCACTCTAATTTCTACAGTTTTTATTTAGGTTGTTAGTTACTTTGAAAGACAGAACATCCTGTTTCTAGAACGGTAGCACAGAAAACCATTTCGGTATGTTTTGACGGGTAGCACAACTGAAACTGATCCAAACGTGGAGTCAGGAGGACCCTGCTGTCAATCAGAAGCCTGAAACTCATTAAAACATGGTGGCCGAGTCGCAGCGTTTGGTTTAGGAGCAAAAACAGGTTCACTTGTTGGAGGGGAGCTAAATACAGACTAACCAATCGTTTTAGAGCAATGCCAGGGAAAAAAAGTCATCTGTCGGAGCATCACTAATATAATCATTTGTTTTAGTTCTTCTAATAAATTGACTGTTTCTTTCCCAGACAGAGCCACATGGGGAGCTAGTACACCACTACATAGAAAGTTTCTGTAGATCAGAGCTTCTATGTTTCTCTCTTATGTCTGCTTCTGTCTGCTTGACCTCCAAGTCAAAAGGCGGCACACACTGAGCTTGGTTCTGGTTCTGCTGGAGGTTTCTTCCTGATAAAAGGGAGTTTTTCCTCTCCACTATTGCAGCATGCATGCTCAGTGCAAGGGATTACTGCACAATGCAAGTAAATATCTACTGTCACCACATGCTCATCTAAATGGAACAAATCCTGCAAAGTCAATGACTGGATGCAATCAGACAGTTTTATCATTCTGACTGTATATCGGATTCGGTAGTCTCTGCAAATTGCCTTGTGAATTGGTGCTATATAAATAAATTTAATTGAATAGAACTGAAGTGAAATTAACTGTTTTCAGCAGCAAGAACTCAAGCTGGGTTCAGTTCAATTCAAAAACAGGCCCATCAACGATGAAAAGTTTTGCTGATATTTCTCTCCAGGGTGGAGTTACAGTCAAACAGGAAAAGAGCAGATGAAGCTACTCTGATGAGACAAAGCCAGAGAGAACATAAAATTAGAAACAGGCAGGTAATATTGATATTTAATGAAAAATAATCCTAACAGGTTAAACTAACAAATGCTGCAGAATGGGAGAGTAGAGGTAGAATGAAAGGTGGTCTGTCTGCCTTCCAGCAGCCTAAGCCTATAGCAGCATAACTATAGATAGCTCAGGCCTGCCTGGATGTCAAACAAAGGATTAATACGCAATAATGGATCTGTAGCATCTGGTATGCTGTGAGCTTGTTTGTCTTCCATAGAAACTTTGGAACCTCGTTAGATTGAATGGTGTAAAAACGGTAAAAATGTATATCATATTTGGCCTTTTTCCCCTTCTTTAAATAATTTGTAGGTAGAATCAGTTTATGCTCCTGCAAAAATGCAGACCATTACCAAGTGGAGGTTGCAGGCTGTTGTTCATCAGAAAAGCTCCTGGCGTTCTGCCTGATTCTAAACAGGATACGTAGATTTTATTCCACCTTCCCCTGTTATATTATATTTTGCCCCTGGGCAAGGCATTTAACCCCAACTTACCTGCTGATTTGTGCATCGGCTTTGACTAACCCAACATAAATTCAGTCCATTCACCATAAAGTACTCGGTATTCTACCAGCAGACTATGTGAACAGACAGGTAGGAGGGTTTTGGCCAGTTCCTCAACTGGTTTCTGCATCCGACAGAAGCAGAGTGTTTGTAGAAGTTAATCAATCATTGTTAAGTCGACACAAAATGATAGATTAAAGAGCCGATTGACCTCCGATGAGCCGTCGGCTTTTCTGGACGGCGGCCATGCTCTGGGTGTCAGAGACGGATTTTCACTCCTGTTTCCTCACAGAAGCCAGTGTGGATATTTGACCCCAGGTGATGATGTCATACTTGAATCAGATTTAGACGTGCATCTGTTCGTCAAGCTGCCGTCAGCTGTCTTGTTTCCCTCCAACCGACACGGCCTGACAAAGCCACGGGTGAACGATCCGCTGCCGCTTTCGAGCTGTCGGATAGGTTGTCAGGACGCGGATCAGTCTGATGCGTCACTATCAGCGTAAGGTGGCGGGTTTAAAGTTCCGCTTTGAACAGAACTCTTCTGATCTCGTCTCCTTTTAAAGGACCTCTGTGTTTCTATTAAAGGCCGTATCTCTGCATCAACAGTTTAGCGTTACCAGTCCCCTAATCCCATCTTTTACTATCGTACCTCAGAGCTCATTTTCTGCAGATCAGAGCAGAGGTGATGTTTAGGTAGCAACAGCTGATGTTTTTATGCAGAGGTGATTATAATTCGGACTCCACCCCTCCTACCTACCCCCCTGGCCCCAGAGTCAGAGTTCAACAGCCGTTCGGATTGACAAATCACGGCTTTATGTTTTCCGAAAAAGCAATCAGTGCCTCTGCCTCTATTGACAGTTTCCTGCGTTGCTTTCCCCGTTAATTTATTGATGCGCACGCTCTGCCTCGAAGCCATGCTGGAGCCGCCGGCCGCCACACCTCGCTTTTTTGCATCAAGAGGGAATAAACAATCGACACTAATTGCGGCTGCCATTTTCAGAAATACTTTTGATCTTTGGGTCAAATATGGATCAGGGAAAAAAGGTCGATTGAGAGAGCATGTGCATAAAAAAATCTTCCTCCTAAGATGTCAGCAGCAGTCCTTTTGATCCAGAAGTAAATACTTTGGTTGTGATCTTTTATTTTACAAGAGTCCCAGACGGTTAGTAAGGTGGCTGTTATAAGAAAGAGGTACCAAGCTGAGGACACAGCCAGTAAATGCTTTATTAATGTAATTTAATCAACTATCCGGAGCAATCAGTAAGAAAAAATGTAGCAAAAGACCTCAGTCACAGACTCTGAGGTCAACAAGGTCCTTTAGAAGGTGTCTTATCTGCTTTTTTTTGGGTTTATTTTAATACATATCAACATTTTTCCCTTCCTGTAAAAGTGGTTCCAGTTTGGGATCAGTGAATAACTGGTATGTGAAACATGAAGGATCTGAGTTTCTTTATTACCAATTCAATTTATTTTTTCTATTACTTAAATCCATACTGTGTACCTTCAACCACCAGGGGGCGCTTTACCTGTAGCTTCCAGGTTTAGCGCCTAAAGCATCTGGAAACGCTGCACAGTCGCAAATTTTTCCTCAGTGTTTTGGAATCCGATTTCAGACGCCTTTGGACCCGCAGGTTAAAAGTTACTTGTAAAGATGAGGCCGTATTTGTATGGAGTGAAGTTTTCTCCATTATTTTTGCAGGAACCCATTTGTAGATTGAAAATTTAAAAACAAAAAACTCTAGGAGTTAAAATTTTCATGATTCCTAAATAAAAAAAGGTTTTGAAAAGAACTTTCCTGTATTCTCGGATTAATTTTTTTTCTTCAAATGTCTTTTAAAAGTTATTTTTTTATTGAATTTTAATTTTCAAATTTCAGGGTTTTAGATTAAACTTTTATGAGTTTTATTCTTTTGAAATTGGTTTTCACAGATCACATTCTCTTCACTTCTGGGGTGACGAAGCATTTCTATTGTTCTGCTGTAAGTTAGCGGCAATATTTTTATTGGTCAAGAGCGTGTCTGTATTTTGTTTAAAACAAAAAGAAAAACTGCAGGGAAAAAATAAAGAAACAAAAACGCTACAAGAGCAGTAAAGTTACACTCCAAGTCTTTTACGTATTAAGAAGTTTTTCAAATGAATCACATTTTGTTTTTTACAAATTTACATTTAAAAAATTCGTAATTTTTCAAATGTATATTTACAAAATGCGTTATTCACTTGCAACAATAATGGAACAACATTCACTCCATACATTTTCCCTCTGGATTCAACCCTGGTTTTGCTTTAACTTTGGGAAACAGAGAAATCCTCTTGAGACTCAGCTTTGTGCTGATGTGCTTCCCGCCTCCACTCACAAACACACACCTTGCTGTTGAGGCAAACTTAGAGCCTGTTCCTGAACCCTGGAGACTGTGGAGACCCGGAGCTCCCAGGAGCCCCGAGGCCCACGAGCTCAGAAGTTTTCCTCCCAGTGAAGAACGATTAGATCATCAAATATGTCCCAGAGTAGGAAACAGAACCTGTAGATCCAGTTCATCTGCCATAGCTTAGCAAACATTACAAATATTTCTGCAAGGGGGACTTCCAGGTAAAACAGAAAAGGCTGTGAAGCTGGCAGTTCAGGATTCTACCAATAAAATAAATAAATAAATAAAACTTTTATGCATCTCAACACTGCAAAAAATCTAAATCTAGATAAGTCATTTTTTTTTTAAATAAGTGCATTTGTTCCTGAATCGAGGAGGTAAAAGAGACATTTTACCAGTGGAACAAGACAATTTACACTTAAAAAAAAAAAAAAAACACAATTGCATTGACTTATTTCAAGTGCATTTTATCTAATTATCTTATTTTAAGAATAAAATTACTGATTCCATTCCAAACTATCTCATTTACCTACTCAAATTAACGGTAAATACAATTAATTTAAGACATTTTTACTTATTTCTAGATCATTTTTGCAGTGAAATTGGAGAAATTAGCTCTTTGCATTTAACCTATCCCCTTTGGGGACCAGTGGGCTGCCATCGTTGGAACGCCTGGGGAGCATTGTGGGGTTAATGGTCTTGCTCAGGGACCCAGAGAGGCAGTCTGTGGGGGTGAGTTTCAAACTCACAACCTCATGCCCTATGCCGTAACCACTAGGCCGCCACTTTGTTAGGATGTATTAGTGGTTATTTGTTCTGCACTCATCAATCATTTTCACCCACAGTGAATAAAAATATATATAAATATTTCATGTTAGCTTTGCTTCCTTGTGTCTTTGGCTACGTTCACACTGCAGCCTAAAGTGACCCAATTCCGATTTTTTTGCCCATATGTGACCTGTATCTGATCTTTTTATGACAGTCTGAACGACACAGATCGGATTTTTTCAAATGCGACCCAGGCCACTTGGATATGTGGTCCTGAATCCGATACGTATCTGATCTTTTCAAATGCGACCTGTGTCTGTACGGCCAGGTCGCATTCATCCGACCTACACGTCATTGATACTTGAC